AAATATGTTGGAGGACAGAGGAAATCTACCTCATGGCAGCTATTTTTATTATTTGCAATTTCCCTTATGTGATTACTTTGTGAAATTAATCCTAAGCTTAGAATAGCTTGATTAAGTTTGTTGAAGGGATTATGCACCGTGGCTGAACCATGGCTTTATTGAAAACATTTTGGGGAGACCACTGAACTCCTTTTATATTTTTAATAAAAAAAGATTTGAATACATACCTGGATGATTTTTTGCAGGCTGAATACTACTAAATGCAATCTTATTATGAATATTACATTTGGAGTCATTCATTGTGGGTTTAAGTAATATATATTTTTTTTAATTCTAAGATTAGACATCTTAGAGCAGCAAACAGTTTATCAGTCAGGATATATTCTTGAGCCCTTTTAACATCTAGCACTAGGAAAGAGCTTCAAATTTGCCACACTAAAATATAAAATTTACAATAAGTTAGAATTACCTTTTTTCTATCTTGGAGGAAATTAAATTAGAAAAAGTTGCATAAATTGTTTAATAAAATTAATGCTGAATATAGATGCAAACCATCATGAAATAATTTGGTTTTTCTACCAAAATATTTTTTTTTACCTTCTATGTGCCTTTATGATTTTTCACTAAAAAATAGGGGTTCTCTTAGGATCAAAATCTGCCACAGATAAAACATTGAATACTGTCAGTAGGTTTTATTTCAATTAAATATATGAGGATGAAAAGCCTAACATTTTGCAGCACTATTTCTTGTACCATAAGATTTTTGCAGAATTTGTTGCCAAATTATCTTTAATCAGAGAACATTCTAGGTTTGCAAGAGTCAGATTGCAGTCATATTTGCATTTGAACCTGTTTTAGGCAATTGCCCAACTATATTAAGAATATTTTTAATAAACATTACTAATACACTGCATTTGGCGTTCAAATTAATGTACAACCTGAATTCATCCATCCAGTCCCGGAGGATGTGCTGTCTTTCCATATTTGAAATAAATATTTCATTTTTCTCCCCTCTTACTATCATTCTCTTACTGTGCCTCAGGAATGAGGCCAACAGAATCACTGCCCTCATGTGGCTGGCATTGTTGCTTCTGGAAGCTTGAAAGGTTTAGATGGTGACATCACCATTGCCTGGTTGAGGGCTCTTTCATGTCCCCATGCTTTCAAACAGTTGGTGGGCAGGAGCTGGAATGAAAGATAGGAGCTCACTCAGTTATCGATTGCAGATTTGTTGATTGTCAGCCCAGCATTCTAACCATATCAGTCAGCAAGGTCTACCACAGAGCTAGCATTACATGCTGCTGTTGTTGAGGAGTGAAGAGTGTGAAAAGAAAAGGGATGTTTTTCATTCTCTCTTGCCTACTTTCCCACTCCCACTGCTGGCTAACAGCAATGCCCCACCATCCCAACTCTTCTCACCCTTGTTGCACCTCCCTTATTTATGTGCTTTTTAGATGGCACTACCATTACCCTTAGTGATGCATTCATGATTGACATCCATGTACAAATGGCTTGCCCCATACTTGCTCTTTCTTATAGCTCCTACAAAGTCAGCTCTTACAATTAGCATAAGGAAAAGTTAAATTAATTCATGCATTCTCAGCCCAGTATTCTGCATGTAGTTGCAAATAGTATTTATTTGGTAAATAGATACCTATTACCAAATCTAAATATTTTCCAGAATGGGAGGAGGGAATGGTCACACGTGGGTTTTATCACA